ATTAGATTATGGTGATGTTATACAACTCTGCAAATATGATTTTAACATGGTTGTACTGTACACTTTAAATGGGTGGATTTTATGATATGCAAATTGTCAACAAGACTATTTCATTCAAAAAAAGGCACATATAACAAAATAAAATACCAACCACCTCAGAAATCTCCTTGAGCAAACTTAGAAACGATCAAGACATATAAAGGAAGATATTTAAATCATCATCGTGCAATTTGATGGAATAGTATAAAACCATTTAAAATAGTTATAAAGGATATAATTTAGAAAAATATTCAGTAAAATAGTGCTAAGTTAAAAAAAAAAAAAAGACAGAATACAAAATTGAATGTTCAGGGATGACCACAAAAGATGAAGGAAACATAATACCTAAAAGGCTATTTGTGTTAGGGTAGTAGAGTCATAAAAACTTTTTTCCTCTCTATAGTCCAAGCTCTCTGTAATTTTGTCCCACTGTATTAGCAGCTAAGGAAAAAAAAAATCCTGCTCAAACTGTTTGCAAACTACAATTTAAAATGAAAAATAAGTAAAACCACCTTATTCCCTTCTCATACTTCCACCCACTAGTTTATCGAGATCAACTGAGAACAACCCCAAAGAAGGAAGAATTGGATAAACAGGCTCCTACCCCATTCCCAGAAGCCAGTTTCATTTTACCAGCCTTGTCAGAAGCCAAGCCTAACCCAGTCAAAAGAAAAACCTCAACAAGGACAATCTACAAAAAGGGCAATTCCACGGACTGATCTTAAACTGCTGTGAGTGCAGGCAAGTCACTGCTGGCAGTAGGTTGGATTTGAGCAGATTAAGATGGATACTGCTTCTCCTTGAGGGAAGGGTGATATAAAAGGGGACACTGGGAAAGAGTTCCTATTCATGTTTCTCTGAAGTTTTGTTTCCAATCTCCAACTGCAGGAGAACAGCATCCTGAAATCATTTAATTTTTCACAATAGAAGATCCTTTTCTGAGTAATAAAGAATTGTCAGTCACCACCTCTGCAGTCTGGAAACCCACTGAAAATCTATTACTGTCTTTAGGAATCCCAGGCTAACTTCCCCAGATCGAGCAATGGGATTCTGAAAAAAATCAAAAACAAAACACTGTGCCTGTGTGTAAGACTAAGTACATTAGGGCACACCACTATCAGGTAATTTAATGGATCTACTAACACCGGCCACAGTAACAAGGAACTACATCTGTTTCTGCTTCAGAAAATGCTTTGGTAATATCCTGTTTCGGGAGTACTGCATGAACTCTTGGCATGTGGCCTTCAGATGTTTCCAGGGTGGCTATTTTCCCTTTTTTGAGATGTAAGAGCCAGGAAGGGAGCGAACATCAGGGACAACGCCAGTCTGAAAGCCAGCTCAGTTCTCACAATAGCTGCTATACTTCCTGCTGTCCCTGTAGCAACAACCTTCACAGAGACTCAACTGTCCTTTGGCCTTACCAGTAGCACAGTTGGCCTTTCATGGCTGCAGTGACCCAGCTCAACACCACTATGAGAACTAACAGCAGAGTGGAGACTTCCACACCCAGGTGAGAACCAGAGGATTAGAGAGCAAAATAAGAGGAACCCTGCTGGTTTCTAGGCCAAAAAACTGAAAGAGAAAGAAAAAAGGACATGGTCACAGACAGACATAAGCACAGGAAGAAGGCACAGGTGCCTGCCAGAACCTCTACTTTCATATAAAAGATTTTACACAGTCTCACTTATGAACCTGCAATCATCCAAGGGAACATGGCTATTGCCTTGCAGATATCTGAGCCAGGGTCCAGTGAACAGATCTTGATGCACAAGGTCGGGCTCCCCAAGTCTTCCCTACTGCTTCCTGATCCATAGTTGAACATCTTCAAATCACAAAGTTCTGAGCCCCATCCCCAAGCTGTATCCTCCCTCCTATCAACAGGGAACTAGTCCTCCCACATTACAGGCGACATTTCTCACTGCTCTACTTTCAAAGTATCCTGCAATGTGGCAACATAACTTAAGAATTTTCTAAATGGAGCTTCATTATAATGGATACGTGGGTGCTATGTGTTCATTTTTTCTTTTTTTTTTTCTCTGAACTCAGAATCCTCCTGCCTCTGCTTCCCAAGAGTGCTATGGTTTAAATGTGTCCCTTAAAAGTTCATGTGTTAGAAACTTAACCCTCAAATTCATATGCTAATGCTATTTGGAGGTAGAGACTGAAGGTGGAGTTACTGGCAGGTTATTAGGATTAGATGAGGTCATGAGGGTGGGGCCCCCATGATGGCATTAGTGGCTTTACAAGAAGAAAAACCCAAGCTACCAAGTTTGCTCCTTTTACCGTGTGATGCCATATTGTTATGCAGGATGCTGGTGCCAAGCTCTTGTATTTGCCCGTCTCCAGAACTATGAGCCAAATGGACTTCTACTCTTTATAAATTCCTAGATCTCAGTTATTTTGCTATAGTTACAGAAAATGGACTAAGATAGAGGGTGACCCCCTACATAGAAGCAATCTTGAAAAGAAACCAGGAGTCTCGTGTCAAATAAACTCACCCTTAACCCAAATGTCCTAATCTTCAACACTCAAGTAGGCAACAGAGCAACGTTTGCTCTCAAAGTTAAAAAAAAACAAAAAGCCACAGGATTCCTTCCTCTATTTGCTCCTTCTCATCATTTTCCTAATGCTTGAGGAAATGCTCCCTAAACAAGAATTATCTAGAATCCTGACAGAAGAGGAAAATGAATCCTGCTTGTCAGCTTCAGCTAGGTGATCACATGTCAACTCAGAGCTCATGTATGATAGCTATATGACCCAGTCCAGTGGATCTGCAAGTGGGCTATATAGCCCCGCTCTGCCTCTGGTGAATTGTCCCTTGGTAAACGGGGAATAAGAGGGGAAAGACAAGCACCTGTGTTCTCTGGGCTTCCCACACTGCTGACAAGCAGTTCTGCTCCATTCACCCAGGTCACCTGATTGGGTGCCAAAATGAAAATTATGTTCCTCACAACCAGCAGTAACCTGGTTGTCAGGAGAGCTAAGAAAATGGCAAACAGAAAGTTTTGAAACAAAAGGCAAACGGCTTTTCTGTGGGCTTTGGGGGAGCTGGTTGTTTGTTATGAGACAGTGTCTCAGTATGCATCCCAGGCTGGCCACAAACTTATAATCCTCCTGTCTCAGCCTTCCAAATGGTGGGAAAACAGACATACATCACTGATGATGCCCACTCAAAGGCAAGTCTTCGTCTGTGACATAGACAAGCATGGAGGAAACAATGCTTAGTAGCAATGAAGTTTTAGAAGCCAAGTGGAATTACCACCTTTAGAGTGTGTGTGTGTGTGTGTGTGTGTGTGTGTGTGCGCTCGAAGGTGCATGTGTATAGGAAGAAGGAGGAGAAAGTGCTGCCCCAGCAACAGCCAAGGAGGAAATCCCCTGCCAGGAGATGCACCATTTACGTAAGAGCACAAGTTCAATCACCACACCATGGAGACCAACCAGGAAACCACAAGTGCTGAGTACTTGTCACCTGCCAGCCTGCATATGTTGTACCTCATTCTCCCCGTCTTCCTCTTCTTTTAATGGACTCAAATTCTGGGTGTTGAGAGGGCTAGCCTCAGCAAGTAAGTCCAACTGCCATATGACAGTGGGTCTGTTCTCAGGGTTTTAAACACCTAGAGGCCTGTCTTCATCTAGCAGTAGGTGAGGATTTGTTTCATATATCATTTCTATTACAGCATCCAAAAAGTCACTCTGTAGCCAGGAATTCCATCTATAGGTTTCATACCTATGTTGTCCTCTGTTTAGCTTACTGGGCAGAAGCTCCTTAAGCAGCAAATGACCACCAATAAAAGCTAACAACATAAAACAAAATAAACTGACTTAAAGATTGTGAGCTCCATGAAGACAGGGCTTGGTTTTGTCTTATTCATTGCCACAACAGTTGGCATACATTCTGTATCACATAAATACTTGTAAAACTGAATGAAAAAAAATAATTAAATGTTGTGCAAATAAACAATATGTATTTTGAAGAAAGCGTAGTGTTGCTCATAATGTGAGAAACCACCTAAAGTAATGCTTTCAGACGGTTCTAGAAAGATTCCAGAACCTACCTTTGTGATAGTGGGCAAGTTACTCAACTTTTATAGCTTTGGTCTCAACTGGAAAATGGGGATGACAACAATATCTTCCTCAAAAGTTTAAGTGAAATTTTAAAAAAAGGAACTATTAGCACAAGCTTGGTACACAGTAAAATCCTCCAGAACTTACCATATTGTTGCTGTTATTGTTTCTTTACTAAATTACTTCATTACTGAGTTGTAGCCACAGCCCTCCAACTCTGAGAAAATTTTCAGTTCTGCTTGAATATGAATCTAACTAAAAATGCAAAGCTCAGAAAACTGTGAACTCAGTGCCAAGGGCATGTCTCCACTAGCCTCCACTAGATGGTGACAATTTGGGTGTGGAATTCCCAGAGCAGAAAAAGTGTGTGTGTCTGTGTGTGTGTGTATCATTCATATATATATTTTGTAAGTCAAAGACATCCAAACAGTAAGAAGTGAATTAATTACTGTCAAGGGTGGAAATACACTCTAGATAGTAAATATCTACGGTTGAACTGAACTGGGTAATCTTCCTGCACCTCTGAAAAGCAAACACACAAAACCCCAGCTGGCAAAACCAACAAAGCCCAGCACACTGCCTATCACCGGAAGAAAATTCTATGGCAACAGCAGTAGACCTCTTTGCTGAGACGTGAAGTTCCCTCTACCCAGCCAAAGGCTTCATTTGACGCCTCTTTTTCCTGGGTCTTACTGTCCCCATAACCACCTGCCTGTCCCTCCCAGTCCCGTTACAGGTAATTTTTTCCACTTAAGCAAAAGCACAGACACAACCCTGCGGGAAGAGTCAGACTCGCACTAATACTGGAAGTCTGTGTTAAAAAATATATATATATAGCCAGGCGTAAAATAGAAAATATGTACATGCACACATTTAAAAAAAAAAAAAACACAAACCAGGAAGTGGCTTCGATGAGTTTCAGCTCAGATAATAAGAAAAGTTTTGAGACGCAAGAGCAGACCGGGCGCGGGAGCTCCCGTAGGCTCTGGCACCCGCACGGACGCTGCAGGATTTGCTCAGGAAATCCACCTCCGCTCAGCCAGCCCTGCCCAGTGCAGGACCCGCAGCTTCACTCGGCTGGAGGGAAACGACAGTGACAAAGCGCCTCTGCCTGCCCCTCCTCCGCACGGCCCCGGCAGGGTGCTGGCCTCCTGGCTCGGCACAGCGAGCAGGTCCCCAAGTCCCCCGCCGCCAGCCAGCCGTCCGGTTCTCCCCAGTTACCGCCGGCACCGCCACCCCGCCACCTCGCAGTCCCGCCGGACCGAGCTACTCCAGCACGGGGCTCCCGGGGGCGCTGCAGACGGCGGGTGCCTCAGGCCGGCGTCCCTCCAGCGGGGTGCACCGACCCCGCGCCCTGACAGCCGGCTGGATGCGCTAGTGACACAATGCCGGCCCGCCGGCCCCAGCCTTGGTGACAACTCACCCGGTAGCGGTGCGGAGACCTTCGGGAGGGGGGCGCTCGCAGCTTCCGTGCCGCCAGGTCCGCTCTGTTTCTGCGCGTGCCCGCAGCCCTCTCGGTTCCAGGCGAGGCCCCGCGTGCCCTTGTCTGGTTCGCGCTGGCCGGCGCTGCGGGAGGAGGAGGCGAGCGGGAGGAAGGGAGGGAGGGAGGCGGCCAAGGTAATCGCCGGCTTTAGAGAATGGAACACGGTGCGGCGGCGGCGCCAGCGTCACTGGCCCAGCTGTACCGCGCGGGCGGGGGTGACCCCGCGGAGGGAGAAGGAAAGGGGCGGGGCAAGGGCGGGACCAGGCGCGCACGCAACAAGCGCCGGCGTCGCGCCGCGGTCGCGATCGCCCGGTCGGCAGGCCCCACGCGCACGCGCACGCGCACACGCCGCCGGCGGGGACTAATGCCCCGCGGGAAGCGGCGGGCGGGGGGAGGGGAGAGAGAGGGGGCGATGGGGGGGGCCTTAAGGGGACAGTCGCGCTGACTGCGCTGGTGTGGACCCGCGACCGTTCAGATTCGCCGCGATTACAATGCGTTCCTCGGTTCTTTTATTATTATTCTGTAATTATTGTTTAGATATTGTTTGGATTATTGGATTACTATCATTTGCAAAGAAGTGTACTGCTTTCGGTTTACAAGAGAGCATGTTTTCGCATGCATGCATGTTGCCTTATTAGCTCTTTAATCGCTCTCCTGACCTGTGTCTGACAGGTAATAGGTTATTACATCCCTATTAAGCAGTACTCCTTAGACTGTAGTGCACAGCCTACCTACCTCAAAATTGCCCGGAAGGGTTGGGTGAATGTGGAAATGCAGATCTGGGTCCCCACCTCCAGCCATTCTAGTTCAATAAAGCTGGAGTCATCTCTGTTTTAAGTAGCATTCTGAAGCGATATTTCAGCTCACTAAGCTCATACGATGGATCTCAAAGTTGAAATAACTGAAGTTCAGTTCAAGTACTGGCAGAGCCTAGGCAAGAACCCCACCAGGCTCCTACCTTTGTTCTGCTCCTGAGCCTTGCCTCCTGGCATATCCCGTGTGAGCACGTTGTGCACTATATGGTTACATCAGTTATTGGTGACCTCTCACTGCTTATGTATCCTCGGTTTATGTGTTTAGAAGGCTTGTGGCCCTTTGATGGCAGGGACTGTGGCTTTATAATCTTTGTGTGCAGGCCCTTGTACTTTGCTTGTCTCAGGAGTGCTCAGTAAATGTTGAGGCTCCTACTTGAAAATCATTGCCCTTCGATGCAGCCTATTTTCCCAGAGGCTGTGTGTGTGTGTGTGTGTGTGTGTGCTGGGGATTGAACCCAGGGCCCCACACATTCTAGGCAAAAGCTCTACCACTGAGCTATACCCCCATAATCTTTTTTTGCTTGCAAGATACTCTTTGGACAGGGATACATCCCCTTAGCACCTCTCACTAGGCTTCCTTCTAGAAACCTCTCAGGAGAAGTGCTGTGAACTAACAGGTCATGTCCTGAAAGTAGCTCAAAGGCAAGTAGAGTACCCCCTTCCCTACCCACACACACCCTTACTCAAGACAGCCCTACCCTTCTGGGCCCACAGCAACCTGTGGCAAGTTGCTACCTTTTCCACAAGCCTGTCCTTGCTCTCTCTTTTTTCTTCCTGGCCTTCCCTGAGGAAGACGGACACCTCCCTTCCTGCTCATTCACCCCATCTAGTGGGGCTGCACTGCCCAGAGCATTAGGGGATTGAAAAGCAAACATCAGAACTGCCTGAAACTGAGCAGAGCTTGGTGAAACTTGTTCTGGCAAGAACACCCCAGGCAGATACAAGTTTCAGGAAGGGGATAAGAAGGAAGGAAGCAAGGGGAAAGGTGGAAGAAGACTGGGAGAAGACAAATGGTGAGGAGAAAAGAGAAGCAAGGCACCAGCATACAGGTTGAATCATCTGTGAAGGCAGCTGAACCTCTGGTTATACACCATCAGTTTGGTCACTAACAGGTGATCTTATGCACGTCTTGCCACTTCTCACATTGTTAAAATGACATCTGAGACCCTACCCAGCTAATCACTACCTAGAGTCCTCAGAAGGAAGTCAAAGTCCGCAGCACGGACTGTCCAGGGCTTTCCACAATCTGGCCCAAATCTTCCCATCCTTCTATACACTCCAACCTCCCACCCCACTTGCTGGTCTCCTCTTACAATCCTCAGTCGTCACATCTCAGAAACCATGTCCAGCTCTTCCCTCTACCTAGAATGTCCTTCTGAACTTAAAATTTCAAAACCCTTCCAGAGCTTCTTCTGTTCTTCTGTGCACTTTCGTTGAGATGAGGTCTCACTAACTTTTTGCAAGGGCTGGCCTCAAACCTCAATCCTTCTGATCTCTGCCTCCTGAACAGTTGGGATTATAAGCACGAACCACTGCACCAGGAAATATTTTTTAAAATTTAATGGCTTTATTGAGATATGACTCACTAACTAGTCACAGTTTAAATGTACAAGTATACATTTAATGTGTGCAATTCAATGGCTTTTGGAATACTTATATTGTTGTACAACCATTACCATGATAAATTTTAGAATATTTTCATGACCCCCTCAAAAAGAAACTAAAAATACCAATTTCCTCCCTCCCCATCTCCACCTTCTGCCCTAGGCATCCAATAATCTACTTTCTGTCTCTATACATTTGCCTATTCTGAACAAGTCATAAAGATGGGATTATATAATATGTAGTCTTGATAATTATTGTTTCTTATATCCAACATAATCAACTTTAACCTTTAGGCAGAACTAACTTTTTATTTAGACCCTGCCTTATTCTAAAAGGATGATGGCTCTTCCAACTGATATTACTGGGTCCTTCCAGATTTCAAATACAAATCTTATTTTTTGGCTGTGCTGGAGATAAAACCTATGGCCTAGAAGTATGTGGGCTACACCTCCAGCTCCCATTACAATTTTTTTGTGTGTGTGCAAGGTTTAAAACCTGGGTTTCATACTTGCTAGGCAGGCCATGCCTCCAGCCCCCTCAATACATATCTTAATACTTCAAATCTAAGCGGTGGAAAATGCCAACGTTAATGGCAAGTAGAGGAGCCAACCATTCCAGTTTGCCTGGGACTACAGGGGTTCCTGGCACATGGGACTTCTAGTGCCAAAACTAGGGCAGTCTTGGGCAAATCAGGATGAATTAGTCCCTCTTGTGGGAAGAGTTAGGAGGTAGAATATTCAGAGCAAGCATGCCTTTACCAGCAGTCAGGACAGAAAAGCTTGCCTTCCTGAGAGAGACTAGAGAGAGAGAGAGAGAGAGAGAGAGAGAGAGAGAGGCTCAGAATAAGTGCATGGCATCTCTGTGGTTGTAGTTATTACATTTAACAGCAACAATGACAGCCATCGTTTATAAAGCACCTACTATATGCCAGGCACTTGATATGTAGGAATTTTATCCTTGTAACCTCTAATTCTGGCAACAATCTTCCAAGTCAAGTACCATTCTACACAGGAGGCTCAAAGAGATGTTTGCAACTTATTGAAAACCACATAACAGGTATGTTGCAAAACCAGAATTCATTCTTGTCTGTTCCAAAGGTCACACTTTCCCAAACAAAACATGTAGCCCCTCCTACCCTCAACAAGAATAGCAAAAATTGTCCTGATATATCTCTTCATCTCTCTCAAGGTGCTTCTTTAAACACTAGCTATTTTACCCTTACAACATTTCCATAAAATAAAAAGGCGGTATTGCCCCTCAATTTTACCTATAAGGAAGTTAAAGCACCACACAGACAACTGGCTTGTCTGACCTCACACAAGAATTAGCTCGGGTTTTGTGTTTCAAGATTTCTTGGACAACCTTCAAAGTCCAAGAAAGTAAACCTGTTTGACCCCAGGTGAGGTAGATGTTTTCTGCCACCCTCACCATAGAAGTCAGAGTCCACATGGGTGGGCCTGACAGGCTCCTCCAGCCTGGGCTGAGAGGCGGCTCCCATTCCAGAGAAGGAAGGCTCCTGAACTCAGATGGTTATCTAAGTATGTGAGCAGGCACCACTTGAACATCATCCAGGTACTTAGAGCTTTTCAGTGAGTGTCAAGCTTGTTAGCCTAATCTTTATAGGCCACTGGTCAGAGGGTGCTTTGTAGAGGTCAGAGTTCAGATCACCAGTGTCCAGAGCAGCAACTGATTCCCTGCTTACCCTAACCTTGACTCTGCTAGCCCTAGAAAATGTGCTTTGGCAGCTGCCCAGTTAGCAGATGTGGACAACACTTCCCTTCCAATTGTTGGAATTAAAGACCCTCTGGTGCCAAAACAGACACAGGAGAGACAGAGAAAATCTTGATAAGGCAATTTCTTTTGATCAAAAGGGTGCAAGCGTGTTTTCACTCCAGCTGAGCAGGCGCGTGAGCACAAAATGGTCAACAGTGGCTTCTCCTTATATCCCTGACACAGCTGTACCTGCCCCTCACCTGGGATTTGTCCAGGTCAAAGGTTCACAATCCTTCTTGATTGGCTAAAAGGCTTGGGATGGGTTAGGCACGTAATTTGGCGGGCAATTTTTGTGGGCAATGGGGCTGTACAAGAATCTGAAAGAAAAAAAAAAAAAAAAAGAATCTGAAAGAAGAAACAGGAGCCCTTTAAACAATGCAAGTCACCTAAATTAGTGACCTGAGGAATTTTAAGTAATCTAAGAGAGTGACATAAACTTTGATAAAAAGCTCATTTTTTCTTACAATTTCCCCTTCTTTTAATTTAAATTCTTTTCTTCAAACTCATTTAGGAGCCATTGGCTCTCATGTTTCTGTGTTTCTAATAGAAACAAATTATTTGGGTAGGGCAGGGTGTGATTGCTTGGTGAGGGTTGTCTCAGTTAACCACTGTATTAGTCCTTGGACACAAGGAACTATGTAACATCCTACTAAAATTAAAATTCTGGCCACTATGACCAAGGAGGTTAAGATTGAGGCCATCCAGTCCTTCTACCTCCCAAACCATTTCTCCGTTAAGTCAGTGAAGGCATGATTTATACCTGAATTTTCAGCTAGCTCATTGGATAGAGTAGCTATCCAATGGGCCTTAGTAATAGTTCCACTGGGGCTGTATTATTTGGTATATATGTGCAACACAAAACTCCAATCCTTATGCAAACTCCTCCCTTTTCAGCCAACATCATGTCTAATGCTAGCTGTTCTCCCAAGCCATCTGGTTAGTTGGTCCCAATTACTCTGCTATTCCTTTGATAGCATCCCTGGTATAGTCAACAAAC